GCCTACCTCCGAAAATCATTTTGGGCATAACTAATTCATCCGGAGTCTGATTTTCGCGTTCTTTAGCTCGTTTTGTAGCTATTGACATCCACCATCCCACAAAAATACTAACACAAACACTTGACTTCATCAATTTTTTCTTCTAATTTTGGCATCTTTTCCTCGGCCCTCCACCATATCATCCACAATAGGACCATAGCTTTCCGCAACCTAACCCATTTTATTTCCCATTGCATCTGTGGTTGTTTGAGTTGTGATTGGAGTCTCCTAAGGTGTTTCGGCTACTTAGGAATGGTTACTTCTTCATCAACCACCGATGACTTGTATCGTTACATCGACTACATCCATCACGAGCTTCCATAATTGACGACGATCATCCATCCTTTGAGACCACCTTCACCGGAAGCAAGGCTGGTTACCCCCGACTTCATGAAAGGTTAAGTGTGATGAAGGTATCCATTCCATCATAAACTTTTCCTTCCTTTTCCATTACACTTTGATAACTCCACCATCTTTGTGAATACCTTCATACCTATTGAGACTAGCTATCCAAGTATTGTCGGGCTTCGTGAATACTTGAGCACCTTAGTGATACGATATCATAGTGTTGCATCATTTGATATATCATATAGTGTAATTGTTTGCTTCCGTTCATATCTTGTGATAATTGTCTCATGTGTTTGGTTGAGGCTCAAAATAATAGTGGAAAGGAAGAGAAGATCAAAGAAAAAGAAAAGAGAGAAGAGCTTTTAAGAAAGAAAAAGAACAAGCTTATAACCAAAGAGTGGAGCATGAAAAGGGAAACTTGTGCATGTGGATAAATGGAATATGAAACATTTTTCTTGCACGCATATTGGTTGATGCCAAGCGATGAATCATGCCCAAACGTGCAATCAAGCTACCGTCTCTCCTTGTGTTTGTGCAACACGAGCTTAGTCTTTGTTACACAATTTTATCTTGCTCATTCCTAGAGTTGCACAAGCCCCATTATCCCACCATGTTTGTTTATTTATTGCCCTCTATATTTGTAATCACTTACTTTGCATTTTGAGTCCTTTGAATTTATTTCAACATTTACAACATCCTGGATTTCAATTTTCTTGAAGTTGTGCCGCTTGTCCTAACCAAGCCACTTGATAAGCTTTACTTTGTGGGTGTGAGTGAACAAGTCTAGTATAGATTCCACTATTCTCTCAAATCATATCACTACAAAAAAGACACTTCCGTGATGATACGTGTTTGTCACATTAGGTCACGTTTTCTGTCATGCATGTACATCCATGATGATTTTATGACAAAATCAAGATAGTCATACCTGTGCTGTCGTAGAAGTGTTTCATGACATTACCAAAATTATCATCGCGGAAGTGTCCACTTCCATGACGATAAATCGCGCGTCATAGAAGTGCATTCGTCAAGGGTGACCGACACGTGACATCGACTGTAACGGCTCACCGTTAAGCTACCGGGTCTGGTTTTGGATCCGATAACCCGTTAACAGCCCGTACCAATGGGGATTTTCCACGTGTAAAATTCTCATTGGCCGACGGAATCACGTGTCAGCTCCTCGTTGGGACAGATGTCATCCACTCATTGGACAGGAGGCGCCTATGATACGTCGACACGTGGCACGACCCAATAGAGGCCCATTCCGGTGAAAAGGCAGGCCCAGCTAAAGGCCCACCATGTTTTTTCAGACACTTAGTGGGCTGGCTCGTTAACAACCTGCCATGTTTTGGGTCAAATTGAGGCCCATATCAGATCAGGCCCGTTCACAGCCTGCCGAGTTTTGGGCCAAATTACGCCCCATATCGGATCAGGCCCGTTAACAGGCCACTGTACCTTTGGGCCCATTCTAAGACAGGTTTGTATTTCAGCCTGTTAAATGCCCGTTTAGTTTCGGCCTGTTAGCGGCCCGCGGAGTATCTGGGACGTTGTGGGCCTGGTTTTACTTTAGGCCATTTAACGGCCCACGCTGAAACTGGGCTATTTCTTGTCCTTTAGGCCTCTTAACGGTCCGTAGTCTTCGTGGATAAATTTCAGCCCAACTGGCCTATCGGCCTGTTAATGGCCCGTGTAACAGTTGGGCCTAATTACAGTCCGCATTGAATTTGGCCTGCTTACAACCCATCTGATAATGGCCCGTGACACTTTTGGGCCTATGGCCCACGTGGATACCGG